TCGTTTAAATTCTTCCATAAATAAAAAAGTTGGCACTGCGCATGCGCAAAACCAAATTTTGAAATTGGCGTTTGAGTTTCCTTTATCCCAAGTGCCTATGTATCAAATTTCGTTTAAATTCTTCCATAAATAAAAAAGTTGGCACTGCGCATGCGCAAAACCAAATTTTGAAATTGGCGTTTGATTTTCCTTTATCCCAAGTGCCTATGTATCAAATTTCGTTTAAATTCTTCCATAAATAAAAAAGTTGGCACTGCGCATGCGCAAAACCAAATTTTGAAATTGGCGTTTGATTTTCCTTTATCCCAAGTGCCTATGTATCAAATTTCGTTTAAATTCTTCCATAAATAAAAAAGTTGGCACTGCGCATGCGCAAAAACCAAATTTTGAAATTGGCGTTTGATTTTCCTTTATCCCAAGTGCCTATGTATCAAATTTCGTTTAAATTCTTCCATAAATAAAAAAGTTGGCACTGCGCATGCGCAAAACCAAATTTTGAAATTGGCGTTTGATTTTCCTTTATCCCAAGTGCCTATGTATCAAATTTCGTTTAAATTCTTCCATAAATAAAAAAGTTGGCACTGCGCATGCGCAAAACCAAATTTTGAAATTGGCGTTTGATTTTCCTTTATCCCAAGTGCCTATGTATCAAATTTCGTTTAAATTCTTCCATAAATAAAAAAGTTGGCACTGCGCATGCGCAAAACCAAATTTTGAAATTGGCGTTTGATTTCCCTTTATTCCAAGTGCCTATGTATCAAATTTCATTCAAATACTTTTATAAGTAAAAAAGTTTGCAATTCGTTTATAAATGATCGAGATGCGAAAAGGGCACTGTGAATTTTGAATCGATTCGATTCAACTTTTGGCATTGCGTATTATATGGCTAAAGCTATGCCCATATTGAATTTTATGCAATTCAGTTCATAACTAACGGAGATGTAAAAGCGATCGAACATTTCTAAACAAAGTTATCGTTCACACGGACAGATAGATGGACAGACAGACAAAGGAACAGACGGAGAGACCAACCGGCAGGCGACAGATAGCAATGCAAAATTATAAACGATCTCTAGGATCGTTAATAAACGGCAAAAGTGTAAAATTATGGAACATGTAAAAAACGGTTTTTTGTTTTTTTACAATAACTTTTTGTAAGCGGTACAGAAAAAATTCCTTCCTTGGTGCAAGACTCGACACCATAACGAACCAAATAGCGAAACAAGTAGAACAATAGCTCTTAAGATAAAGAACTAGTAGCGTCGCAAAACGAGCGGACGGACGGACAAAGTGGCCACAATAGCGCATTTTTTTTTTATTTTTGTGGAAATGCGCTAAAAAGTGAAAGTAATTGGTGTACGAATGTTGCGGTTGATTATCGGGTTACACCTGCCATTTTCCGAAAGCTCTTACGGAAGTACTAATGATGTGTCAATGAAACGGAATAAAAGTACAATGCTTCAAAAAGTGTCAATTTTTCCAGCTGTTTTGTCTAAATGTGAGGTCATTAGCGCCAATACTTCCCCTAAAGTTTACGTAAACATCTGTGGTCAATGCGGTAACTAGTCACTGTGTAAACGAATGATGAGCAACCCCCTCGATTAGAAATTGGAATTAGTTTTGCAAGAGTAAAAACCAGGTCTGAACCCATTCAGATTCGTCTTTATCAATGTCTATTCTGAAGGCCTCATATTCAAAATAATAGCGGCGACGGATAGCTATAGATGTTATTGTTAACTAAAGCGCAATTTGAGAACAAGGAAGAAAGTTTCTCGTATCTTTAGTTCATTGTGTCATCAACAATGCCTCTTACAATACTGACCACACAAACAGCAGCCATCTTTAAAGGTATCATTGTTGCTTAACTACAATGAGCTAGTGTCATGCAATTGTTTGCGCTCGCTCATCGCACAGAAACAAATGAAGAACGGAAACAACCGGTTCGGCTTCTATTATTAAGCAATACACTACGCTACGTAGTTATACCTTTTGTCTGGATAATTTCATATTCAGTCTAATTAGAAATTGGAATACAGAAAACAGGATATTGAGGTCTTTGAAGCTTAGATTAAGCTTTGTTGGATTATTTCTATTCATGGGTGATGTTACAATGAGAACAATTATCTATTATACTAAACAGATATACGTTAAGCGTTATCAATGAGTAATCTAAATGATACCCATGTTGTATCTTTCCCTTACGGGCGAGCTTTTCATATTTCTCTGAGACACTCACTAATTAAATGTTTCGGATTGCATTCATCATTCTGTCTGTACCTAATTCAACCTCTTATGCTGGATAGTAACTCACACTGAGTCTATACGGGCATAGAAGTTGGTTAACTTGGCACTCCACCTCGCCATTGTCCATTTTGTACAAATTTTTTGGTACTGTTTCAAATTTTGTGCAGCTTTCTTTGAGAAGAACACTCACACGTTACGATTTTTTGTTACGGCAGCAGTTTCGACGGATGTTTACTGTCTGCAGTCCTAACTTCATAATCTATTCATATATTAAAACGAATCTATGCAGGTTTAGAATTTTATTTATATTGATTTACCACTAGGCCTATTTGAAGACACACCGTTATTTACCCTGACCGTATGAATTCATTGAAATTGCAAGTATGAGAGTGGTTTTTGAAAGCTCAAGGACTGCCAAGACAATTTTTATGTACCAGCCAATTATATTTACCTAATAATATGCGGTTAAAGAAAATAAAATGTTATACGTGCTTTTTTGATTTTGAAAAAGCATATGATTCCGTGCAACACAATACAAAAGCTTAGGTACCAAAATAATTAGGATTCTAAAAAACTTCTATTGTAAGGCGACACTGCTAGTTAAAAGCGAGAATGATGGTCTGTTTATTGAAGTTCGAATCACGAAAGGAGTACTGCCAGCGGATGTCCTAACTACCCTTTTGTTCGCTGATATTCAATATTTTTTTCGTGCCCATACCTTAAATAGAGTTACTTTAAATTGCGAAACAGATATACGCTTATAATGTATGCAGATGCCTTTGTAATTGTTGTCAATATACCAATTCAATTAAAAATTGCATTATTAACACTTGAAACGTACAGTGAAATTAACGGGTTGGAAGGTAAAACTTAAAAAATTATCTTTAGGGTCATCTTCAACATCGCCCTTCTGAATTTAAAGCTTTGTCACTTGCTCGTAATACTATCAAAAGAGTGCGCCAGAATTTTAGATTGGAATTAACACAACTATTGAGCACTATTAAGTGAGTACCGTATCGACAGTAACCGCGACTTTACCTACACTTACCGATCACGGTGGAGTATGGTACAATCAACAGTTGATGCGACACCACTGTCTTGTCTACTTGAACGAAAACGCGTAGCTTTATATACCCACATACCGATACGAAACCATATAAACATTTCCAATGTTAAAATTTCGGCCATCTTATATCCATATGCTTCAGTAATCAGTAGTAGCAACTACTTGAGCAAACTTACAATGGTCCGAGCGA